TGGCTATAACCCAATTGACAGACTAGACTCCACCCCTGCACTCTTAATCCTCTCAAATCCCAAATTGACACCAGATTATGTAACTACCACATACCCCCATGGTTAAATTGCTTTTAAGATGATTCATGCGATCACAATCAGTTCTAGTGCTCCCTCCACCCTCCCATCTTCATTAGTTACTCCCAAAATCCCCTTTCCCTCCCTATCTCCCCCCACCCCTACCCCTGTGTTCCTAAATCCCCTTGTATCTGTTATTATAATTAGGCCTCCACTTCCCCTGTCATTAACAGCTGGGAGACCCAATACAAAACAATAGAACACAAAATCACATCTAGCCTGTCTTTATCTGAGATAGTTGATGTTGTAATGTTTCGTGAAGCAGGCAGGGACAGTACTGCACAAGCAGAGTGGTTGAAAACTTGGGTTCCAATCCTGACTCTTGGACAAACTACCTCTCCTCTGGGCCAAACTACTTGATATCCCTTATGCCCAACTGTGGTCAGCTACAAAACAAAGGTCATATTAGGTCATTTATGCTAGTAGTTTGCTGGGAGGATGATGGGTTAATATGAGGTACTCAGTTAGAATGGCACTCAGTAACTATTAGTTCTTTGAAGTAGTTATCTTGTGGCCCAGCTCTATGGGTATGGCTGCCTCAGTGCTCTCTGAAAAGTTCTAACAAACCTGGGTTCTAGAAGGTACTATTTTGGTGGGTTAACAGTGCTATGGGACTAGGGATGCTTAGCAGCATGTGAACACCACACATCACCACCCCTAATGCAAGAGCCCTGGTGGTGTAGTGGTTACGTGTTGGGCTGCAATCTGCATGGTTGGCACTTTGAAACCACCAGCAGCCCCACATGAGAAAGACTGGGCTTTCTACTCCATAAATAGTTACAGTCTTGGAAACCCACAGTCGTCCCTATGAGTCAGCACTGACTCAATGGCAGTGAATTTTGAGGGCGTTTTTTCTTCTTCACATAGAGCAGAATCCTTCTGATTCCCTCAATGTAGTGTATTTTATTGAGTTACAGGAAGCACTGAGTCCAAATTGAGGACACCGGCCCCAGCTGAAGGGGGTTGCTGTCAGCTGGAAAGGAAGGTTCTTGTTGCCTTTCAGTATCTGTGGTCCGAGTCCCTTGGGGATCTCTGTGTATTCCCATCAGTCTTCCCCTGGGCCCAAAGACCTGCACTACGTGCAGCTCTGGCTCTTTTGGATACTGAGTGCTCTCCTCTGCTCACTTCTCTTTTGCTCACCTCTTGCAAGGTGGTACGGGCCCTGCCCTCAGGAAACTCCCCTTCCATGAAATCAAGGTTGCAACCCAAGTAAGAGTGTTCCTCCCACCCAACCTCTTTACAACCAATGGGCTGAGTTTATCAGCTCCCACCATCGGGTAAGGTGACTTCGTTACACAGCTGCCAAACAACGGAGCAGCAGGGCCCAGCCAAGTTGACACTTACTTTGGGGACACAATTCAGTCATGGCTTGTTTCCGTGGGAGACCAGGGGTAGTAGACTGTATGCAAGAGGCCATAATCTGTGGCAGAAGTTCACCCCTGAACTGGAGAGTACATCCGACTCACTGGGAGAGCCGGGAGAGCCTATGTTTTAAGTGGGCCGAAGAATGCCCATTTAAAAAATGAACTCAAAGATTCCAGCAATCTTTCTCACACAGTGTTAGATGTGCAGTCCTGAAGGATCTAAATCCCTCTCCGCACACCATGTGATCCCCTCCCGTTACTTTTCTAGAGTTTCCCTGGATATTTTTACTTCTTCAGATGAAATTCCAGATCATTTTGTCGGTCTCTCTTAAATCTTGTTGGTGTTTTCACTGAGAAATCACATGAAAGGTGTAAGCTTATTTATGAATTCTCTTTCCAACACTGAGGCTTTTTAGCTAAGAGCACAGTATGTCTTTCTTATAGGTCTGTCCGTTTTAGATAAAGTTCATTGTATAGGTCTGTGTGTTGTACAGGCCTGTCCGTTCCTGGGAAAGTTCATTGCAGAAACTTCCCTCCCCTTTTGTACGTGACAGTTTGGTGTACCAATGGAATCAGATGCAAGAGGCCCATAGATCAGTGTTGGGGACCATTTACCTGTGCCTCCAGACCTTTGTTAGTTCCTTTCCTTCATCTGCCTTTGAAACATACTATTTATTTCCATGATCCCAACAAAACACAAATTGGGAAAATCCCCATGGGCCAGACTGGACCCTTTGAGCCAGCAATGAGGGGTGCCTAGAAGCATTAACTCCTCAGTCTCTGATCGTTGCCAAATGCTTTTGTCTCTCCCTGGCCTTCCTCGGGCCCATGTCCTAGGCTCAGCACTCAGTAGCTTCTCAGCTGAAGGGCCCTATCTGTTATCATCATCCAACCCTTCCCCATCGGCTTCTCTGCTACTGGAAATCAGTCTTTCAAATGTTAGTAGAGGCCCCTTCCTCTTGTTTTTCTTGAGTGGTGTGTGTGTGTTGAAGGAGTGTGTGTGTGTGTGTGTGTGTGTGTAAGGGAGGGGGCACAGGGGATGAGCTGGCGGTTTTTCCTGTCCAGTCTCACTGCAGATGTCAACACACACACACACACACACACACACACACACACACACACACGATTATTCAATGCTCCCATCTTCTTCCTCCCCTTTCTAAGGCAGGGGAGCAGGGCAGTTTTCCAGGAAAGGACAACCCAAGCCAGAGGTGGTTGGAAATGTATTTATTTTTTCTTCAAATGATCTTTTTCAAGCAATAAATAAAAACAGACGTGTTGACTCTTCTACAAAACAGAAATCCATAAGCAACAACAACACCCCCACCCCCCAAATGATATACATCCTACAGAAATTCAGGCATATCAAATGTAGAAATGACATCACTCTGAAAGATGGGGCTATTTACAGAAGATACACGGATTGCAGTGCTGTCTATAAGAAGTCTTTCTGGCATCACTGGAACTCTGAGGACACACCGGGTAGTGGCGGGCAAGGGAACGCCGTCAAGGGGACAATGTCCAGCTCTTTGTTAGACAAAGAAGTTTCAAGTGAGACATCACCAGCTTGCTGCTGAATTCCGTACCCTAACGATGCTCCCCAGATGGGCTGGCTTTCAGCGAGCAGGACGGGGGGCTCCGGAGGAGAACACTGCTAGGCCTGGCAGAGAGACCACTTGGAGCCAGTAGCAAGCCCCGGGGCTCCTGGGGGTCAAGCTAGTGCCGTTATCAAGGCCCAGGCATGGCCAGTAGTGAGCCTCACAACACCCAAAGCCCTTTCTCAGGCTCGACTGCACATCACAAGGGCCTGGGGCTGTGATACAAACTGATGGGCGGATCCCACTCCCAGGGCGTTGACGGAAGTGTTCTGGGATTCCCATCCCCACACCCCCCAACCTCTGTCCCAAAGTAGATTCCAACTCACAGGGCTTCTGTAGAGGGGTCCCCAAGGCTTTAAAAATCTTTCCGGGATCAGGCAGCCTTGTGTTTCCGCCTTGGTGTTCTGGGAGAGTCAGGCCATTTTTTAAAGCCCCCAGGCAATTCCAACGGGCAGCCAAGGTGAGCCCTCGCTTGAATGTGAGGGCTTTATGACCCTTAGCCAATCCTCATCTCCAGCCCATTCTCAAGACCAATCAGCTGCCCTACCCCCCACCCCCCATCTTCCCATTGGTTAAGAAGAAAAAACAAGCAAACTCGTCTTTTCCACTTTGAAAACTCCCTGCAATCTGGCTGCAATGAACACGTGCACAAAATGGCCCCAGGGGAGGGTGATTGCAGGGGCGCAATCGGCCATCCACTCTCCCGGACTCCAGCCTAACACTGACTGCTCTGTGCCACGGCAGCCCCCTCCCCTCGGCCTCTCCATCAATCAGCCTTCTCGGACAGTCTGGATTCCAGGAGGGATCCGCAGCACTGCTTGGCCTCTAGAGCATATCGAGACCCTACCTACTGTCTGTCACAGCTAACAGCAAGGCTGAAGACCGCGGACTGTGGCCCCAACCACTGGCCATTGGCGAATTTCCCCCAGCCTGAAATCACAGAAGCCCGTTGCCCGTTCGGGGCTTCGCATTAGAGAAGTCATCCTTAGCCGAGTCACCAAAGAGGCTTCTGTTGGGGGAAGAGCATCTAACATGTGCCCCCTGCCAACCAAGCCAATTTCCTATTTATTTCCAGGAGGTTTGGGGCTCACTCACCCCGTTACCAAGCACAGGGGATATGGCTTTATCAGTAGCTCGTTCCAGTGGTAGTAGAAGGCTCGGATCGAAAAGCAAAGCGGGAGGACAAATCTGTCCGTGTGGTTAAATTCCAATCTTGGGAAGCAGTTTTGGCCATTGCACACTCCTTCTATAAAAAGTGAATCTGTTCTCCTGCGCCCCAAGCAGGCCTCCCACCCCCGCCCATCCGATCCACTGTTGGAGCCCATGGCTTTCTCAGCTGCAGGGCCCATTTGACCTCATTCATCACAAAACATGAAGCAATTTCCAGGAACCAAGGGGAAAAGTAGGAATGTCCAACAGCGCTGTCTCTAAATGGCTCCTTTGTCCAGGAACCCCAACCTCTCCATGCCTCGCCCTCAACGATTCAGCCCCCCAGCTCCCAGGGGGGAGGAGGAAGCCTCTCTCTGGCTTGTCTACAAGCAGGAAGCGGGAACTCTGGCCTCACCCAGAGGTGGGACGGGAAGGCAGGGCTGCTGAAGCGGACACAGGGTCGCGGTGGGGGACAGAGCAGGGCAGCCCGGGGCTGCTTCGGGGAGAGAGAGCCTCCCAGCACTAGTCTACCTCTGCGGCTTGAAGTTACTGAGGTGAGCGAGAACGTTCATTGAGCTCTAGATGCTCAAAGGGCTAAAAGACAAACCAAGAAACACATGCTCTCGTTTCTAGACAAGCTTGCAATGGCCCCTAATCGGGCACTCCGGACCAGCACAGTGCCACAATACTACGAATGAAGTAACATGTAGCCTGTTCCCTCTCCCTCCCGGCCCCGCCCAACCCCCCCAAGCCCACCCTACAGAAAACCTGCCCTCCGCATTCCAAAAGCCATTCCTCCATGTGGAAAGGCCTCTCCAGATGGCATTGTCCCAGGAAAGGATTCTAAAAGAGCACTGAACCCAGAGCCAGCCCCCGGACAAGGAGTTTGCTCCCATCCCCCCTTCTCTGAGCCTGCCCTCTGCCGGCTGACAGGGACCTGGACCGGGGAGTCCACACTGCTCCTCTCATTCGAGGGCACTTCACAACATGCACGGAGACCAGGGGAGACCTGTTGGCCAAGTCAGCCCCCTAAAATGAAAGACCCAAGGTTCCACGAGAGAAAAGCGGGGCCTTGCAACTTACAAAAGGATTCAGTTTCGATCTCTCGACTTAGCCGTCCGTCCGAAATCATTATACTTTGTGATGAAAGTATAATTTATGTATCGCTTGGTGGCCAAATGATTCCCTGTAGGAAAATCAGAGTTGCACCCGGTTTTTCAGGAGCACCTAATGGGATATGGCATTTATCACAGGTGGTAGGCGGGTCCTTGGCACGGCTAGGGCAAATGGCGCCCACCACCGAACCAAATTCTGGATCGCCGGAGAGAGAAGGTCCTATTGTTGTGGTTTACGTAGCTTCAGGAGCCTGTGGGCCCCGGAACCAGCTCCAGAGTCATGGGAAGGCAGTCCCTTCGTTTCTTCCTGCACCCACCCCACCTGCCGCTCAGGGACAACGAGGGCTGCCCGATGGTGGCGCTAGGCTGTACACCCCTAGGGGCGATCAGGTACTAACTGCTCTGGCAATGACATGCTATTGTATTGTGCTGCGTTGTTGGACAACTACATAGATTGTAAGTTCACTGTCACTAGATCCCTTGGTACTTACATACTCTGAGGAAGTTCTTAATAAATACCTTTATTTATTATTAAGTATAAGTATTAATCTGTTGGTGACTTAGAAATGAAAACCATGTCCTACAAGGTTTCTTAAAAAAAAAAAAAAAGGCGGAGGGGTGGGGCAGAGGGACAAAATTCCTCTACGGTGATAACAGAAAAAGTAACAAGAACACAAATCCAGGCACTTCTGGGAAACTTGTTTGCTTCTTATCCCTTGCCCGCCCCCCACCCTCGCCTCCCAATAAAACTGGTTGGGCACATTTGCCAGGATCTGTGGACTTCCTAACTTCAAGCCTTACTGCTTAAAAAAATGAGGTAAGAATTTTCTATCTCAAAAGTAAAACTGACACACAAACCAAGCCGAGGTCTTGCCCGGCTGTGTCCGCAGCGTTATTGCTCTAAGTTGGCGTTTGTTCGTTTGTGGTATGTATTCAAAGTCCTTATTGCCATTCTAGCTGGCCCGGAGGACGGCCAAGGAGAAATGGATGGAGAAGGAGCTGGTCACCGGCCCCTGCTAGTCAGTTCTGACTTGCTGCCACGTGTGGGAGGCCCTGCCTCTTGCTGGAAGCCGACTTCCGGCTCTGGGGGTTGAGAGAGAGGCTCTAACAGGTGGGAGAGGTGGTGATGGGGCTGTGCAGGTACGGCAGGTTGCTGGGGGCCGAGTGCACGCCCACAGAGACAGGGAAGCTGAAGACAAACTGTGAGGTGGGCGTGGGGGTGGCTTTGCCCCGCTCCCGCAGGGGCCCCGAGGGGCTGACAGCCTCCACAGCACAGGACGTGGCCAGCACCTGCGACTCGAACTGCAGCAGCTGCCCCATGAAGCTGAAGTTGGGCGAGATAATACTCCGGCGCTGCTTGACGAACTCGAACGCCTCCTCCAGCCGGACCCGCTTCTTCATCATCAGGTAGGCCAGGCAGATGGTGGCGGAGCGCGAGATGCCCGCCTGGCAGTGCACCAGCACCCGCCCACGGCAGTCCTTCACGGCATCTGGGCAGAGAGTGCCACATGGTTAGTGCCCTGGGCCCTGACCAAGGGGCAGGAGTGGGGGGTAGGGGTGGGCAGAGGCTGGAGAGGATGGGGTGGGGGGCTACTCTCGAAACCCGTTTGCTTCAGAGGGTGTTTGACACGCAGGGGACCTGGCAGGCTAAGAACAGTTACACCCCAGCCCTCGATCGAGGATTTCCCTTGGCCAAAACAGAAACAATTTCCCCCCTCCCCCTCTTTCTTCCACGCCTCCATATTTTGTCTTCCTCCCCATCAGTAAAGTCTTATCTAGACCCACAGAGACACACAAAGGAAAGGCAGGTAAGCCAACAGCAGTGGTGGAAGCCTTCAACTTCCTCTGGTGCCCCAACACACACCCAGCGGGTGAGGAAGAGAGGAGGTGGGCACATCCCGGGCACTGGGCCTCCCAAAGTCCCTCCTCCCTGACCTAGGGCTCTGACCTGACGACCCTAATGACAAGAGCAGGGCCAACTCACCGATGTACTCGATGGCCTCCATGAACCAGGAGCTGATGTCAGCCTTGTGGTTGTCTTCCACCGGGATGCACTTGTACTGATAGTGTCCCTCAAAGTGGTTGGGGCAGTCCGAGGAGACGTTCAACAGGGCTGTGATGCCCAGGGCGTCCAGCATGTCTCTCCGGGCAGCATGGTAGGCACTCCCGAGGTAGAGGAAGGGCAGGATCTCCACAGGGCCCCCCTGCAGCAGAGAGAGAACACAAAGGTCACAGGTCACATGAGTGTGAGCAGCAGGCAGTCCGAGACAGGCTGCTTGGGAAAACCAGGCAGGTGAAGGCAGCTGGAGACCGGCTTTCCCAGGCACTGGGGAGATCCCGGGCTGGACATAGCGCCTCTGGGTTGCCCCATTGTCCTCCTGGAGCCCCTGCCGTAGAGCCCACAGAATGTGGGTCCAGCAAGACTCCTCGATCCTTTATCTTCTGTTCTGCTCATGAGCATGGACAAAGTCTTGTGGGCACCACCTGCCGGTCCAAGCAGACCCCTCCCTGGTGAGGAAGGAGGCAGCAATTGTCTGGTGGCCATACTGCCGCATTTTTAGCATTTTGAGTTTATACTCATGGGCTTGGTAATCTCCTGCGACAACTCAGTCCATTACAGGTCACAAAGTTTATGGTCTATACCTTAGTTTGGGATCTGAAAGCGTGTAACTATCTAACCTAACCATCGAATACATACTCAGCCTTGTCTTGAACCAAAAGAGAAAGGAGGAGAACAAAGACGCAGAAAGAAACAAATCTCCAGGGCTAACAGGCTACATCAGTGGTTCTCAATCTGTGGGTCGTGACCCCACTCGGGGTCAAAAGACCCTTTCACAGGGGTCACCCAATTCGTAACAGTAGCAAAATTACAGGTATGAAGTAGCAATGAAAATAATTTTATGGTTGGGGTTCACCACAACATGAGGAACTGTATTAAAGGGTCGTGGCATTGGGAAGGTTGAGAGCCACTGGTCTACATGATCCACAGCCTCACCTACCCGGAAACCAGGACTAGATGGTACCCAACCACCTCTAAAGCCAGGGCTCTAGAAGTTGAATCTTGGTAGATGGGGGAAATGTGGAAGAGAACTCAAATCCCGAAAAAGTCTAGACTTAGACCAATTGAGACTACAGAAGTCCCTCAGACTAGTCCCCAAATACTCCACAAACTTGAACCACAACTAACCACGGAGGTTATATTTTAGCTAAATCATGGCTCAGGAAAATTTTAATTTTTATATATATATAAAATCAATGACTACCGCACATGTTTAAAGAAATCATCTGTAGGAGGCCAAGTGGTCCACAATTACTCTGAAGCAAAGATGAAAGGGTAAGAGGTCACATGACTGAATGGAAGACATCCAGAAGGAAACTGGATGTTGAAACCCTGTGGGAAAGGTCGCCAATGTCTCTGGACAATTCGTGTAGGAATTATGAAAGGAGAACCTTGTTTGCAGTATAAGCTTTCACCAGAGGAAACAAACAAAACCCCCAAGCCCACTGCTATCCAGTTGATAGCGGATTCACAAGAACTGTCCTTGGGGTCTCCAAGAGTATCCATCTTTCTGGGAGCAGACAGCCACAACCTTCTCTCTGCTGAGTTGGAGAAAGCCATCTTGCAGTTAGCAGCGTCATGCTGACCTGCCGGCCACCGGGGCTCATTTCCCCCAAAACACAGTACATCGTTTGCAGATGTTGGCAAGCTTGGTACTTGCTGTGCAGCTCAGGTACATGTTTGGGGTCCTAGAGCTCCATTGAAGGCATGGAAAGCAGGGTCCACCCTGCCTTCCACACAGAGGGATCTTGGCTGCCTGAGACCATGCCTCCTTCTGAGTCAGAGCAGCTCCAGTGAGCCAGGATCCGCTGGGCAGGAGAACTGGTCCCCTACGTGCTCTCCCTCTCCATCTCACTGGAAGAGCGGGAGGGGATGGGCTTATAAGAAATGGAGTGACCTGAGCTGGGCTTGCGAGGGATGGGTGACCTTTATGTCCGCTTGGCATTCGGCACTGGGAGGTAACATGGGGTCTGGCCCGATGGCTGTGGGCCAGGGCTGGCTCCATGCGCTGTGCTCCAGAGAAGGGTGTTCTTTCCGCCACCAGTACAGCAGGCCGCACGTGGCTTTATGAGCCCCCTCACTTTGTGCATGTTGCCAGTGGCTACCTCAGGGACTTGTGGGAGGGAAGTCTTCAGGGAGGGGGTAATTAAAAAGGGAAGAGGACGAATTCCAAGGCATAAGTGGGCCCTCCCAACCGAACACTGCCCACACCCAAGATTCAGGGTGACAGCAGTCTCCCACACGGAGGCGCCATCTGAAAGCAGCTCAGCCCTCGCTCCTGCCGGCGCCTACCTGGTCGTGGGGCGGGGTTCCGCAGGAGCTGCAGCCCAGGTCCACGGCCTCCACGGTGCTTGCGGGCACCGGGGGTGGGATGGCTGCCAGAGCCTTGGTTTTGGAGCAGAACTCTGGGTACTCAGAGGCAAACCGCTCGTAGCCACCTGTCAAGGAGAAAGAGGTTCAGGTTAAGGAGGCTGCTACCAAGCCAGTAGGAAGTCAGAAAAGAACTTGAATCGGACACCAGCCTAAAGCCATCTGCTGGGAAGCTAGGGGCTGGCTGTACAGTTACCACTAGATGGCACTGTGGCCCTGGAGATGCTGGCTAGAGCTACTGAGTCCTCCAGAGTGAGGTGCACAGCCCACCCCACTGCCTAGCAGCATCTGGGCGCTTCAGGAAGGTTTGGGGACACACCTTCAGTTTGGGATAGAGATCACGGTGCACAGGGGAGTGGGGGTGGACATGGTGGGTTTCCCCTGGGCACTGAGACAGCCACTGAGCAATCACCATCCTGTCTCTGGCTCTTTCCCTGAAGAAACTCTCCAATGTGGGAAATAAGGGGGAAAGTGACCCTGGCACCCAGCTCTGCTGGAGCTCAGCGATGGAACAGATGCCAATTACACGGCCTCCCGAACAGCTGTTCCATCAACAAGAAGCCCAAACAGGAGGAAACAGGCTTAACTCTGAATTAATCCCTCTTGCTACAGACAGGTTTGGGGCAGGGGGGATTTCCTGACTAAGAGTGGCTAAGCCGGGAAGGGTTGGAAAGGGTTGGTTATGGTGAGATCGCCTTGTTTGGGAGAGGGGGGAGAGCTTTGTATTGAAAAAGATAACAGGAGGCCAAAGTAACTAGCTTCGGGTCAGTGCTAACCAGGTGCCTGCTGGGTGGGGGTCAGGCGCAGACTTCCACCACCACCCCCTCCCCTCCGGCCAAGCCGCCTTGTCCCTCTGACCTTCTGACCTTCACGCAATCTCTGGGACCTTGCCTTTGAGGGGAGCTCACAATCTCTTGTCAATATCCTGCCTTGCTCTTGTTTTTTAATTTCTGGGGGCCCCAACACCGACTAGACATCAATTCGTCGGGCCTGTGTGATGTGGAACACTGGTGCCCATGGTTCCCTGCAACTGGTTAAATGACAACAGGGCTGAAGGGCACGTATGCAGCTACAACCACAAACTCGGTATGGCCGAGTGGTACCGGCCAGGGCTCCGGCATACATGTATACTAATCTTCCACCAGGCAGGCATGTGATGGTTAATCAATTGCCCCAAATTTCAACCCAAGAAATGACTGTGTACTGATTCGGAGATGGAGGGAAACATCCTAAGGCTTTTAGAAACGGGATGCAGTTTCTCCTCGGTTCCCTCCCTGGCCTCCCTCCCCCACCTCCCTCCAGATATAAATGGATATCTCTTTGGTCACTGGCCCTCATTCCTGCTGAGTCATAATACCCAAGCTTGCTGGATGGAAAGCCTGCTGCAGAGTTTGACCCTACCAACTCCAGAGGTCCTGATGACCTTGGAGGGCACTGCATCTCAGGAGAACCCTCTCCCTCCATTGTCACCCATTCTGTCCCCTTTCCTTTTAAGGCCACGAATGCTGCTACCCAGTACACTAGCCAGTGCAGTACTAGGGAAGCAGCAGCAACTGCCTTTAGCCGAGGGCCCTCCAACGGGGCTCTGGCCTTATGGGGAAAATAAACAAAAGAAGCCCAAACTCACTGCCATTGAGTTGATGCCGATTCCAACTCATAGCAACCGCACTGGACAGGGGCGCACTGCCCCTGTGGATTTCCAAAACTGAAGCCATTTCTAGGAGCAGAAAGCCACATCTTTGGATGCCAACTGCTGGCCTTGTGGAACGCACTCCACCAGCGAGCCTCCCTTTGAAGGGAAGGGAGCCCGTCTGCACTCTCTTGCTCCATATCTGTATGATAAGCCCCACTGGTCACCTCGTGGTTAAAAGGTGCAGAGTTTCTCTTTGGGGTGATGGAAAGGCTTGGGAAGTATATATGTGTTGAGCTGAAAGCTGCACAACACTGTGACTAGTCCTGAGCTGCGTACTGCAGATTTCATGCATACACACACACACACACAAATATCCATCTCACTCACGGCCTTACAGTGACAGGGGAGACGGCCCCTGTGAGTTTTCAAGACTGTAACTGTTCATGGGAGTCGAAAGCCTATCTTTCTCCTGCAGAGCAGCTGGTGGTTTTAAATGGCAGCCCAAGGCATAACCACTATGTGACACACAGACACACACACACATATGTTTATCTTTGTTTATATATATTCACCCCAATAAATATCTCTTTTTAAACCCCCATGTGTTTGCTGTCATCGTGTTGGCTTCCGACTTCCGGACAGGCCCACTATACTGTTCATTAGCTGACTTTTTGGAAGCCAACGGCCAAGACGAGCTCACTAGGCTCTGGGTGCTACACTGAGAGTCCTCTGGTGCCACCCTCGAGCCTCCACAGGGATGAATCGCACCAGGCCTCTCTCCGAGAAGCCCAAAGTCCCACCCCAGAACACTGCTCCTCTCATAGTCCACATCTACAGGATTTCAATCTTTTAAAGAAAATCATCTTACGTGTATTACATAATATGAGTTGTTGAAAGTTTTTAAGATTTAAGGTACAACTGGTACAGATAGGAACTGGAAACACAGGGAATCCAGGGCAGATGATCCCTTCAGGACCAGTGGGGTGAGTGGCGATACTGGGAGGGTAGAGGGAGAGTGGATTGGAAAGAGGGAACCGATTACAAGGATCTACATGTGACCTCCTCCCTGGGGGATGGACAACAGAAAAGTGGGTGAAGGGAGACGTTGGACAGGCAAGATATGACAAGAATTTATAAATATCAAGGGTTCATGAAGGAGGGGGGAGCAGGAGGGAGGGGGTAAAAAAAGAACAAATATCTCACCACTGGACTTCTAGATAACATAATGATAAATGGGAAAAAGATTTCAGTTGCCACGCATTTCATTTTTTACTTGAACAGTCATCCCTTACGGATGCAGTAGCAAGAGGTCTAATGAAGTACTGTGCTGGGCAGACCTGCTGCACAAGAACTCTTTAAGGGGCTCGAGTGGGAAGAGAATGCTTTGAAAATGATGATGGCAGCATATGTGCAAACGTGCTTGACACACTGGATGAATGTGTGGATTGTGATGATATGTAAGAGCTCCCAATAAAAGTATTTTAAAAAGTAAAAAACAAACCAAAAAACGGTTTAAGGTACAAAGCTTATCACCTACAGAGGCAGATAAGCTACCTCTCTCACTGCCACGGAGCCAATGCCAACTCACAGGGACCCTATAGGACCTGTCCCTGGGAGTTTCCAAGACTGGAACTCTTCATGGGAGTAGAAAGCCCCGTCTTTCTCCCAAGGAGCTGCGAGAGTAGAGGCCGTGCAGCCAGAATGCCGGGTTCAATTCCAATTCTGTCGATATCAGCTGTGCAAACTGGGGCCATTTAGCCTCTCTGAGCTTCCGCTGTGGTATGAATGAACTTCCTCTTCACGGAGTGCCTGTGAGGGCTGATTGCGCTGGCTGGCACCTGGCATCTGGGAGACACATAATGAAGGTTTCCTTTTCTGGCACCTACACTGAGTGGTGCCCCCAAACGGGATTCCCAAAGACCAAAGAGGAACAAGGAGACTCCGTAGGCTGGCGGCTTCCCAGATGTTGACAGCGTCTCTTCCTCAGCTGTATCTCCTTTCTCCACCAGCAGTCTTGAGAGCTGGCTGTAAGACTGAGGAAGGACAGGCGGACCCCTCCCAACACCCCAGGCCTTCTGGCACCAGTCAACTGGTGCAGCAGAGCCTGCAGCGGGGTCAGGCTGAGGGCCCCGCTGCTGAGTGAGCAGATGGTGGGGCCCCAACAGGTGAAGGACAGAGCAGGCCTGAGGGGACCGTTCAGTGTCTCCCCCAAGCTCTTCATAGCAGGCCAGAAGACATAACAAAGTTGGTAATTGATATAGTAAGATCTGAACAGAAAAAGTATGGCTAAAAGCTCAAAGGGGTCACTGCAAAGTCTTTCCCTCCTGAGATACGAATGGCTTCGTTGGCCTGTAAGTTGGCTGTTCCAACGGCTCTTTGCTGGATTCTGGTGGACTGTGGGTTGCCATGCCACTAGAAGGAATGTTGCTAGTATTTCCAATTCCAACACAACGGCACATGTCAGTGAGCTTCCAGACTATGACAGACTAGAAAGAAAGGCCTGGAGGTCTACTTCCAAAAATTAGCCAATAAAATCTTTATGGATCACAGGAGAACAGTGCCTGGCATTGTGCTGGAGATGAGCCCCCGATGGGAAAACTCATGATGATGGGCCAGGCACTGCTTCCCTCTGTTACACACATGATAATGATCATGAACAGTAAGATAATCATATATTATTATGATAATATATTACTATTAATACGTGATTATAATAATAACAAAGTATACTAGAACACAGTAGAGCGTATTGTATTTAATGTGGGTATCATTTGGAAGAAGGCGCTGGGTGGCGCAAAAGGTTAGTTGCTTGACGTTGGTGATGTGAATGAGGGTCCTTGGAAGATGGCCTGGCAACCTGCTTCCAAATGGCCCCTGAAGCCAGTCTCCTCTGCACATGCGGTTGCCAAGAGTCCAAATCAACTCACTGACAACTAACAACAATAACAACAGCCACAATTCCATAGAGTTTGTTTCAGCATAGACAGACCCACGTGTGTGTTTGTACTGGGTCACAGCGTCAACGGGATTGTTTCTTCCTGTGGGTAGGGTTAAAAAGGACTGCTCTCAGACATCTTCCCTTCAGTATTCTCTACCTACCCTTAAAGCTGTGCAGGTTTTCTAAGCACACTCCTTTTCTAAGGTCAAATTGAGATCAAGGAGACCTGGCAGTGTAGTGGGGCTCCGAGTTGGGCTGCTAACCACAAGGTCAGCAGTTCAAATGTCCTAGCTGCCCCATGGGAGAAAGATGTGGTTCTCCATTCCCGCATTGTCTACGGAAACCGGAGGGGGCAGCTCAACTCTGTCCTGAAGGGTCCCTATGAGACACTGGAGAGCTTGAGATCACCATGTTTTATCAAAAGTAATGAAGAGAAAGCTTGTTCCCACGAATACCAAGACTATCCCACCTCCTGCAGGTGTGGAACTGGGCTGCAG